GATGGACCCCCCAGAATCGTCACCAGGATGGCGGCGCGCGGAGGAACCAGAAAAACGGCGCCAACATGGTCGCTGATTCGTCCGACAACAACCCGAAGGGCAACGGCGGTGCGGAGAAGAAGAAGGAGCGCACCGCGGGCCAATTCTTCCATATGGGAGACAAGGGGGAGCAAGGAGACGCATCTGCTAAGGCTGGAGCAGAGCTGCACCCCCTGGACTATTGGGTGTTGGACACAGGCGCTGCTTGGACAATGACGCCGCGCAAGGACCTGCTGGACGACGTACGCGCTGCACCGATTAATGAGGTGTGCTCTGCCTCTGGACACATGTTGAAGGTGGCTGGTGCGGGACGAGCTGCATTTAAGGGAGCGGATGGCAAGCCGGTGGTGCTGCACGACGTTCTCCTCGTCCCCGACCTGAAGGCCAACCTCATCTCCCTCCGTAAGCTTGGCAAGGCTGGGGTGAACACCAACACGGATGGGGCTCGCACTTATAAGGGGAAGCTGGGCAATCGGGTGCTTTGGGATCTGCACGAGAGCAAGGACGTGTACAGATCCATGTGGCAGCTGCCGGCGCTGGCGTGGCATGGTGAGGAGCAGGCTGGAGAGGGGTCTGCATCCCAGGGGGAGTGCAACGCCGTTGGAGGGGTTGGTGTGAAAGTGTCGGCCAGATCTGGGGAGACGGATTGGGCAACGGCACACCGACGCTTGGGGCATGTGGCAATGCCTTTGCTGAAGCAGCTGGAGAAGGATGGAGCCGTTAAGGGCTTAAAGCTGAACGGACAACCACCCGATGATAACTGTGAAATTTGCCTCCTTTCAAAGTTCACCCGTTTCCCCTTCCATAGTGTGGCTGGCAGGAGCAAAAAGCCGTTGGAGCTGGTCCACATGGACTTGGTGGGGCCGCTGCCGGTGCAAGGGCACAAGGGGGAGCGGTACTTCCTAACCATAGTGGATGACTGGAGCAGGCTAATGTGGGCGTATCCGCTGAAGCAGAAAGATCACGCCGCCTCCACGATTCGGGACGATTGGCTGCCATTCGTGGAGAAGCAAGCGGAGTGTGTGGTGAAGCGGATTAGGACAGATCGGGGTGGTGAGTTCCTTGGAGCTGAGATGACGGCCTGGCTCAAGAAGCAGGGCATCCAGAGGGAGCTGACCACGGCTTACACCCCACAGTCCAACGGTGTAGCAGAACGGGCGAACCGGACAATTCTGGAGACAGCTAGGGCGCTGCTCATAGAATCTGGGCTGGGCAACTCCATGTGGCCCCATGCTGTTCGGCACGCTACCGTCGCTAGGAACAGGGTACTCACAAAGGTTGGGGATGACTCGTGGGTGCCGTTGGAGAGGTGGCTTGGGAGGAAGCCGCCGGTGGACATGCTGAGGGTGTTCGGTTGCATGGCAGTCGCCCACGTCCCCAAGACCTACCGCAGTAAGTTGGGGGCGAGTGCAATCTGGTGTGTGCATTTGGGGCTGGCTGCTGAGAGCAAGGGATGGCTGCTGTGGGAACCCTCCAAGGGTGTGTTATTTGACAGCAGGGATGTGAAGTTTGTTGAGGGCATGATGTATGGGAGCTGGGAGAAACAGCCGGAGGCCAGGGTGTCCCAGCAGATGGAGCATATCACCATGCAGCTGGACCTGACTCCTAGTGTGTGGGAGGAGGGAGAGGAGGCAGCTGCAGAGGGTGGTGATAAAGAGAAGGTGCAGGAGGCACCTGCTGGTGGAGGTGATGGTGTGGAGATTAGCGGTAGCACTAGTGGAGCTGCTGGATCCGAGGGAGGAGAGCAGCAGCAGGGGAAAACTAAGAAGCCGAAGGGTGTCGTTATGAAGGGATGGGAGACACCCGTCTCCAGGCCAGGACGTACCCGTATGGCTACTAAGAAGCTGACTGCAGGAGCTGATGTAGCGGAGCAGCAGCTTGGGACCGAGGAGGCATTGCTGATTCTACCGCATGGCTATGACCCGGATGAGGAGGATCAACCTGCGTACTGTTTTCTTGCCCCTGCACCAGAGGAACCAGCTAGCATGGAGGAGGCATTAGCTGGACCAGATAGGGACAAATGGCTAGCTTCCAGGGATGCTGAATACCAGAGCCTGCTGGAGAATGGGACTTGGGAACTAGTGGTGCTGCCTGAGGGAAAGAAAGCGGTACAATGCAAGTGGGTGCTAAGGATCAAGACTGACGACAAGGGGCAGGTCACCATCTACAAGAGTAGGTTGGTGGCTAAGGGGTTTATGCAGAAGGAGAAGCGGGACTTCAATGAGATCTTTGCTCCCACTGCCAAACCCCCTACCCTTCGTGTCTTGTTGGCAGATGCAGCCGTTAGTGGGAAGTTCATTATCCAGATGGACATATCAACGGCATTTCTCAACGGGATTTTAGAGGAGGAGGTGTTCATGACGCAGCCACCTGGGTATGAGGATGGTACGGGCAGGGTGTGCAAGCTGAAAAAGTCCATCTATGGCTTGAAGCAGGCGCCACGCTGCTGGTACCAGAAGTTGGCAGCTGTTTTAGAGGAGATGGGATTCAGGACCAGCAGCTGTGATGAGAGCCTCTTTCTCAAGGGGGAGGGGGAGAAGCTGGTGCTGTTTCTGGTCTATGTGGACGACATTCTTCTCTTTAGCAGCAGCATGAAGGAGATCCAGAAGGTGCAGCAGCAGCTGATGGAGAACTTCAAGTGCAAGAACCTTGGGGAGGTAAAGTACTACCTCGGGATGCACGTGGAGAGGGATCTGGATCACAGGTGGTTGAAGCTGCACCAGGAGAAGTTCATCAAGGAGCTTGGGGAGAAGTACGGAATTGAGAATGAGCGCAAGGTTGCAACTCCCCTGCCAGCAGAATTCAAGCTTGTGAAAGCTGCAGAGGATGAAGGGGTTGAAGCCGAGGAGCAGCAGCAATTTCAGTCCTTGGTGGGCAGCCTCTTGTATGCAGCAGTTCACACGAGACCCGACATCTCTTTCTCGGTTGGGCAGCTGGCTAGGGTAGTGCAGAATCCATCAGAGGAGCAGGTGGATGCAGCTGAGCGTGTGGTGAAGTATCTGAACTCTCACCCAAGCATTGGAGTTCAATACTCCGCATCTGCACAGGTGAAGCAGAAAGGGGTTGAGGTGCTGAAAGAGAAGGGGGAGAGGCTTGGAGAAGGCAAGCTTTTTCTCACTTGCTTTACTGATGCTACGTGGGCCTCTGAGAAGGAGGATTCCTCGTCTGTGGGAGGATACATCTGCGTAGTTGGGGGAGGACCGGTTAGTTGGAGGTCAAAGAAGCAGACGGAGACAGCACTCTCTTCCGTGGAGTCAGAGTACATGGCGATGTTCCATGGGGTGAAGGAGGTGATTTGGCTGAGGAGGTTGTTAGAGGAGATTGGCCAGGAGCAGAAGGTTGCTACGCCGCTGTTTTGTAATAGCAAGGGAGCTCTTGGGATGGCCAGGAACGCTGTGCTTCATGGGCTGAACAAGCACATGCGTATCAAGTGGCACTGGCTGCGTAAGGAGGTGAAGAGGGGGACGGTGAATCCGATCTACATCAAGACTCACCAGCAGCCAGCAGACTTCCTCACCAAGAGGCTTGCGGATGAGTCTCATTGGCGTTGTGTGCGCATGAGTGGAATGAGCATGAACTAGTATGGAATGATGGGGATGCAGCCGGCAGGCTGAGGGGGAGTGTGTTGGGTGCAAATTCACATTGCACGACATCCTGCCGTCTGTTTGTACGAGTATGCGTGTGCGAATGCATTTGCGTGTGAATGGTATGCTTGTGTGTTTGTTTGCTTTCGCAATTTTCGCTTGAAGCATTTGCAGGTACTCGCAAAATGTGCGCTTCGGCATAACATTGTACGCGCTATGAACAGTACAAGCAGAAAGGACGAGCTCGCAAAGGAACCCAAGATGGAAGCTTTGCGGTTCGGCTTACTTGATTGCGCAGATTCAGTTCTATCCAACTCGAAATTGTACTGTTTTGTTTGGTTGACTATAGTGTAGCAGGGCAGGCACTATAGGGGTACAATTTAGGTGAAGGTTGGATGTTGTTTGTCTGTATCTGCATGCTACAGGGCCAGGGGAAACCAGCGGAACCAGCATTTGGCTGGTTGGGCAAAGACAAAACAGGTTCTGTTTTTAGGACCTGAACCTGGTTGTTGTTTTCCCAGGTTGGAAAAACAGAACCAAAGGTTGTTCACCAACCTATCACCTGCTATTTTGTCCAGCCAGGTTGGTTCTGTTGCTTGGAATTATTTGGGATCATCCCTGGTTGTTCCCAGGTTGATTCCCAAGGTCCTTGCTAGCTAGAGCTATTTATTCCTTCTCTGTTTGTACCTGAACATAGTGAAATTGATTCAAGCGAATTCCTTCCTTGCTGGAATTTCTTGTCTACGCGGTGCGACGGCGGAATGCTACCCGAGTCAACGCTAGTACGCTAGCACTCCAACGCTAGGCTAGCGCTGTCGGAGCCATAACTTCGTAATGGCAGAACTTTTCGCGAGGCAACTTGGCTTATTTTAAAGCTCTTAGAGTGAGCTTCGATATAGGAAATTCTCAGCTTAATCCGATCGACGGTCTGCACGATACGCTGCGCGACGTTCAAGGTACTCTTGCTGTTTTGACTAAGTCCCTCTTGATCCCTCTCTCTACAAACTCGGACCCGAGGATAGGGGCTGGTCTTGTACCAGGCACCCAAGGACCCTTGGAGGTGACCCCGAGGAGAGGTTTTAAGTGTGATAAAGTCTTAATAGCTTGAGTTTATTAGGCCCTTACACCAACAAGGGGCTCAAGAGCAGTGCGGTCACGAAAGAAACAGCGCGAAGCGCCTGAGTCTAGAGTGAAGGTGTGCAGTGCCTCAGTGGACTCAGTAGTACCTGGGGTGGCGGACACACAAGCACCTAGAGCAGTAGCCTCACTAGCACCTGGGGCAGCAGACACGCAAGCACCTAGGGCTGCAGCCTCACTCGTGCGGATGCCTGGGTCAGGCGGAACACACAGGTACTGGTCCTCCTCTCCACTAATAGTCTATGCATACATGGCTTTGAGAATAACATCAAAATCAAGAGCATAGATATCGATATCCTTCTTGAGGAGATCAGCCCACTGAGGGAGCTCAGGAGCGTCAGGAAACTGAGCACGCCACGCGTCATCTAGGCGAGAGAAGCAGCGCTGCGCAGTGTGCGCCCTCCCGCACGTCTGTCCCTTGCGGCGACCAGTGCGGATGACGTACGTGCAGCTAAGGCTACCCCCCCCACCCCCGTGCTGTAAGTACCACTCACGAAGCTCCTGGGAGGACTGAGGGTGCTGCGCGCTCTGGCCAGTGCCAGAGCCTCCACGACCACCACCGCCGCCTCCACCACGACCACCACCGCCTCTGCCGCCTCCACGTCCACTGCCGCCACCACCACCGCCCCCACCCCGGCCACCTCCGCCGCCGCTGCCTCCATCACCCCCACCGCTGCCACTAGCCCCTCCAGCCCCGCCACCACCCCCACCGCCGCCACCACCCCCACCACCGCCTCCCCCGCCGTCACCCCCACCGCCCTTGCCTACCCTGCCCTTGCTGCTGCGGCGCCCGCTGGGAGCGGACGCAGAGCCAACCTGCTCAGCACCAAGGAGGTTGACAGCAGCAGCAGAGGCGACAGAGGGGAGCAGGGGGGAGGGGGAACACCCCTCGAAGAAAGGGGTGCGGGGGTCGCCACGAGAGGCACCTACAGCTACAATATTCTTCTCAGCTGCAAGTAGTTCCTTCTCTAGGGCGGTAATGGTGAGCTCAGTGGGGCAGCGAGCTAGGAAGTGGTCCCTGACTGTACGCAGAGTGTCAGGGAGGCGGGTGACTAGGTGGTAGAGAGTGAGCCAGAGCGGGGGAGGGTTGGAGGCAAGAAACTCAGCGGGCATGGCTGCACGGAAGCGGGCATCACTAGTGCGGAGGTGAGTGATGAGGTCAGCGACTGTCTGGAAGGCGGACAGGTCGGGGAACAGGTAGGGAAGCGAGAGGCGGCCTAGTGCAGCTGAGGCCGGGGAGGAGTAGCGCGCAACTACAGCAGTGTACAGGGCGTGCGCAGTCTGATGCTGGCCAAAGTGCTCGCGCTCGTCTACTGGCAGGGAGTTGCGAATAGCAAAGCGGGCGTGGGCATCGCGAGTCTGCCACTGTGAGCGAGCAGTAGCAGCAGCAGTAGTAGCAGGAGTAGGGACTGTGCCTAGTGCGTGATCGTACAGCGAGATATCCTCTCTGGCAGTGAGCTGGAGGAACAGATGCAGATCATCGAGCCAGGTCTCAAACTTAATCGGGCGGCCCTCAGTATCGAACGAGAGAACTGGAGGGCTAGCCATAGCTGAAGTAGCAGTAGCAGAAGTAGCAGTAGCAGTAGCAGCAGCAGCAGCAGTAGCAGCAGCAGTAGCAGTAGCAGTAGCAGTAGTTGTAGCAGTTCAGTACTGGTGCTGCTGCTCAGGTAAGGAGGGCGCGGCTCGGCTAGGACGGCGTGGCTGGGCTAGGGCGGCGCGGCTTGGCTAGGGCGGCGCGGCTCGGCTAGGGCGGCGCGGTTCGGGTCGGGTCGCGCAGCGCGGCTCGGCCGTAGAGGGGCGAGCGCGGGAGGGGCCGTGAGAGGCAAGCGCGGGGGGCCGTTCGGGGGCCGGTCGGGGCTAGCGCGAGGCCATTCGGGGCCGTAGGAGGCTAGCGCGGGGCCTTAAGGGGCCGTGGGAGGCTAGCGCGGGGCCTGAAGGGGCCGTGGGAGGCTAGCGCGGGGCCTGACGGGGCCGTGGGAGGCTAGCGCGGGGCCTGAAGGGGCCGTGGGAGGCTAGCGCGGGGTCTTACGGGGCCGTGGGAGGTTAGCGCGGGGGCCACACGGGGCCGTTCAAGGCTAGCGCGGGGCCACACGGGGCCGTTCAAGGCTAGCGCGGGGCCAATCGGGGCCGTAGGAGGCTAGCGCGGGGCCGTAGGTGGGCCGTTCGGGGCTAGCGCGGGGCCGTAGGGGGCCGTGAGAGGCTAGCGCGGGGCCGACGCGGGGCCTTAAGGGGCTAGCGCGGGGTCTTAAGACGGGGCCGTGAGAGGCCGTAAGGGGCGACGCGAGGGGCCGTGAGGGGCCTGAAGGGGCGACGCTAGGAACGAGGCGCACGAGGGCGCTAAGAAAAGGCGGCGCACGAGGGCGCGGCTAGCGGAAACGGTGGGCCCTAACGTTCCGGTCCTAGGTGGAACCTAGGCTCGTAATACCATGTCAGAATGAGAAACAGGAATGTCTGTGACTAGCAGGAACAACAGTACAAATATGAAACCCTAAACTGGTGTACCCCCTATGGTGTGACCCACTACAGCCTAGAACCACACAAACATATAATGTTTGACATGACAGCACTCACCAAGCGAGGCGAGCGAGGACCTTTTGCCGATGCTGAGCCAGCAACTTCAACGCCTCGCTGGCGCTTGCCTCGCTGGAACGCCAGTTGGCAATTTTGTCGCCACGCTTGCACTACCGAGGTGGGTGAGGCGCACTGTACCTGCTTGTTCGACATCTTGCTTCTTTGAGCGAGCGATGTGTCTCAAGGCTTTGGTTATTTCTGATTGACAAGCTGTTACTGGGAATCACTTCTATATATATTTTTTCTTTACTCAAAGTCCCCGCAGCCGCATCTGTTCTTGGTTCGTCATCACCTCTGTTCCCGCTGAAGCTTCTCTTCTTGGTTTGTCATCACGTTTGTCTCTGCAGCCGCTAAGTTGAAGCTCCTTCAATCGCCGTGTCGCTGTTTCTCTTCTGTTCCCACAGGTGTTTGTTTCTGATGTTTTTTTAATGTGTTTTTGTTTTCCAGGTAAGATTCCTAACTCCGCATATTGTTGCGCGCCCAGTGCCTTTTGCAAAGCTCAGCTCCCAGTATCTGCGCTAGTCTCTCATTGCGTCCCTCTGCCTCTCCCCTCGCACCCCATTTCAGAATCCCGAGCCTCGCAACCAAGCACCACGCAATGCGGATCGACTCACCTTGCATGTTTGCCGCTGCGGAGCGTGTACGTGAGATGGAACTCTCGGACTTACGAGCATTGTTGGCTGTTTTCCTCCTTCGGGTTATCTTGTTTACCTGGTTCTCTGTTGTTATTGTTAGAATCAGAAAGTGATCGTAACCAGGATCACCTCAAGAAGGTTCGCACAGTTCTAGTCTAGTGGTGGTGGGCCCTTGACCTCAATAGCAGAGTGAATGTAAATGCTTGAGTGAAATCCAACCGTGCGACTCCGAGTGGTTACGTAACTGTTCGGGCAGAATCCTCGCCACTGTTGCTGCCTGATGCTGTCTGCCCGACGGTCCATATGCTTTTCGTAACCGTGTGACTCTTCGCGTCACTTGCGCCCTTTCATCTTCATTCCTGGTAGTGCGTGCTTTGGTTGTTGCGGAGAGGAGTGTACAGTAGTGTTTCGATAATCACTATTCGTAACACCCCCCTTCACTCCTAGCCGTAGCAGGTCTTGACCCGCTTGACTACTCCGCTGAGTTCGGAGCAGTGCTGGTACTGCTGTCATGGCAGTTTCTTCGTGAGGAAGTCTGCTGCCATGTCACCCGTCGGGCAATAGGTTAGGTCAACCTTGCCCTTGTCAACTTCATCCTTGACGAAGAAGTACCGCAACGCAATGTGTTTGGTGCGGTTGACGAATCCTGGCTTGTTCGCGATCCTGATCGCGCTTTGGTTGTCACAGTGCAGGCGAAAATTTGTTGAGGCAGGGATTTTCGCCTCCTGCAGCAGCTCTTGAAGGTAGAGGCCTTCGCAAACTGCTGCTGTCGCTGCGATGAACTTGGCCTCTGTTGATGACAGGGCAACCAGCTCTTGCTTCTGCGAGTTCCAAGAGATGGGCCCGCTGGGCTTGAGGCGGAAAATAAAGCCTGTCCTGGACCGTCGATTGTCAGGGTTGGCAGCGTGATCGGAGTCCACGTAACCAATGAGGTTGAAGGATGAAGTTGGAATGGTGGAGTAGCAGAGCCCGACGCTGGGCGTGGAAATGAAGAATTGAAGAGCTCGCTGAAGATCTGAGAGATTCTCAGCCGTTGGTTTGCGTGAGTACTGAGCCAACTGGCTCGCGATGTAGGAGAGGTCGGGCCTGCAGGTGAGAGATGCAAAGAGCAGGCATCCCAACTGCTGCTGGTAAGTGTGAAGCCCAGCAGGGGACAGGGCTTTGTTATCAGGCTTGTGGTTGGGTTCTGGAGTGCGGTAAGGGGTGGAGAGTGGTGCAAGCGCAATGTTGAAGCGCTTGCTAAGCTCCTCCGCATACTTCGCTGCTGAGAGATGAATGGCTTCCGGCGAGTAGGTGATGTTGAGTCCGAGAAACTGCTTCACGTCATGATTGCAGGTGATGTCGACGCGCCCTGCGAGGCTTTTCTCAAACTGCTCAAGCAGTTCGTTGCTTGAGTCCGTGTAGAGAAGGTCGTCGACATAGACCGTGAGGAGGATGTATTCGCCGCGAAAATCGCGGCGATACATTCCACGATCGTGAGGCAGCTGCTTGAACCCGATTTCAAGCAGTATGTTGTGCACTTACTGCTGCCAGAGTCTCGGTGCCTGTTTGATCCCATAGAGAGACTTGCGTAGCTGACCGACGCGTGGGTCTCCGTCGCCGTAAGTGTGTGGCTGTTCCACGTAGATCACGACGTCCACTAACGCGTACAGGAACGCATTGTTCACATCGATCTGCCGGAGTGGTAGGTGTCGTGCGGCTGCGATGGCGAGGAGAATTCTGACGGACGTGTGACAGCTGACCGGTGCAAATGTCTGGTCAAAATCAATCCCGTGCCTTTGATCGTAGCCGGCACCACCCAGCGTGCCTTGAATCGCTCAATCCTTCCGTCGGCTCCTGTCTTCACTCGGAAGATCCATTTGCCGGAGAAAATCCTTCTCCACTTTACTGCTGCACAGTCGACGAGCACCCAGGTGTCACGTGACTCGAGTGCCCGGATTTCCGCATCCATTGCTTTGCGCCACTCCTTGCTGTGTGGGCATGTGAGAGCTTGCCGTGGGTTCTTAGGTTCGATGATGCACGGAGCAATAGAGATGGCAGCGTGTAGTCCAAGTAGCTGGAGACCAGTGACAGTGATGTCGTGGCGATGTTGAGTGATGACTTCCTGCATGTCGTCATCATCGCTTTCTGGTTCAGGCGGTGCTGGCGGTGCTGTGTCTCCGCCGCTTCTGCTTCCTCCTGCTGCGCCTCCTCCTGTTGCGCCTGTTCCTCCTTCACCTGAATCATTGTCGTCGTCGTCGTCATCGTCGTCGCGGCGATCGCCCCTCGTGAACTCGCCTCTGGGATCCTGCTCCAGAATTGCTGCAGCTGCTTCGTCCTCAGGTGAGGCGTAGCTGTGGCCCTCGCTGGCATAGACGCGGTTTGCGTTCGTCTGCTCGTCGTCACGAAATTGTTGCAGAAACAGTCGCTCGTAGAAGATGACATTGCGCGCATTCTTGATATTTTGGCTTAGGAGATCCAGGATGATCCACGCCTTGTGTTCGTGGCTGATACCAAGATGGATTCCTGTTGGTGTAAGGGCCTAATAAACTCAAGCTATTAAGACTTTATCAAACTTAAAAACCTCTCCTCGGGGTCACCTCCAAGGGTCCTTGGGTGCCTGGTACAAGACCAGCCCCTATCCTCGGGTCCGAGTTTGTAGAGAGAGGGATCAAGAGGGACTTAGTCAAAACAGCAAGAGTACCTTGAACGTCGCGCAGCGTATCGTGCAGACCGTCGATCGGATTAAGCTGAGAATTTCCTATATCGAAGCTCACTCTAAGAGCTTTAAAATAAGCCAAGTTGCCTCGCGAAAAGTTCTGTCATTACGAAGTTATGGCTCGGACAGCGTTAGCCTAGCGTTCGAGTGCTAGCGTTCTAGCGTTGACTCGGGTAGCATTCCGCCGTCGCACCGCGTAGAAAAGAAATTCCAGCAAGGAAGGAATTCGCTTGAGTCAATTTTACTATATTCAGGTACAAACAGAGAAGGAATAAATAGCTCTAGCTAGCAAGGACCTTGGGAATCAACCTGGGAACAACCAGGGATGATCCCAAATAATTCCAAGCAACAGAACCAACATGGCTGGACAAAATAGCAGGTGATAGGTTGGTGAACAACCTCTGGTTCTGTTTTTCCAACCTGGGAAAACAACAACCAGGTTCAGGTCCTAAAAACAGAACCTGTTTTGTCTTTGCCCAACCAGCCAAATGCTGGTTCCGCTGGTTTCCCCTGGCCCTGTAGCATGCAGATACAGACAAACAACATCCAACCTTCACCTAAATTGTACCCCTATAGTGCCTGCCCTGCTACACTATAGTCAACCAAACAAAACAGTACAATTTCGAGTTGGATAGAACTGAATC